GAAGGAATGGGGACTGTTTGCTTTTTCACTGGAGCTGGGGCATCTCTTGAGCTTTCTCCGTGGAATGGAAACATAAAATTCCACTTTCATTTCTGTGTGTCCTGGATTGTGTCTCTGGCAGAGTATTTATGGGATAACACGGATGCTGCTGCTCTGCTCTTACCCCAGTGCAGGGGGTGAGAACTTCATTCCTATTTATTTTCCTTTCAGGGAAATCAACTCTGATTTATCATATTTTTTTTAAAAAATATCCTCATAATGGCAGTGAGTTTAGTAAGGAGTCCGAGTAACTCACGGATAAGTTTTTACTAATACCATCTCAAAGTCCTTTATTTATAAAAGTAAATGCCATGTTTTGGTTTTACACTGCTGAAATTTCATTAAATTATGTAGATGTTGAAACACTCTTAATTTTTATTCCCCCCCCCCCCGAGATGTGACATGGCTGGGGTTACAGCATTAACAGGATTATTTTATTTTTTTAAATCGCTCTTGATAGCATTTCTGTGGAGAGTAATTGAATAATTGTTTCCAGATAAAACTGTTCCGAGAGTTTTGTGAGCAGAGGCTCCCTGAGAGTTTGGCACATGGAATGAGGCTGTTTTTAACTGGGGAGACTTTTTGTTCAGTTTTTCCAGAACCTGTTTATTCTTGGTTGCAGGCAAAGCGCTGTCAGTGTTGATACACTCGGATTCCTGGGATATTCCAGCTTTTTCCAGGGATATTATTTTCAAAGGGATGAAAGCAGTCTGGATAATTCTTGCCTGCAGCTTGGGATTTGCATCTGGTCTTGTGAATTCCTGGCCAGTAGATGAGTGGTTTGAGTTTCCAAAGATGCTGAACCTTTAAAATAAATATGTATTGTGGAAGCCTGGAATGGTTTGGGCTGGAAGGGACCTTAAAAGACCGTCCAGATCCACCCCCTGCTGTGGGCAGGGACACCTCCCACTATCCCAGGTTGCTCCAAGTCTCCAGCCTGGCCTTGGACACTCCCAGGGATCCAGGGGCAGCCACAGCTTCCTCAGCTCAGTTTCTGAGGTTGAAAAGTGTTGTAATAAATTCACACGGAGAGAGAGGAAAGTGGGTTTGTAAAAAATCTTTGGGTTTTTACCTTTTTAATACAAAGCAGAGATGAACCTTAAAAGTTCCCTGTTGGAAAAGAGGCTGGAAAATCACTTCTGACTCAGAATATTTCAAAAAGATGAGCTGGTGCATTAACAGCTCACAGGGAAAAGACACAGGAAGGGCTCCAAGATGCCGGTTTTGGGAACTTCTGATCTCGATTCCTTCCCTTTCCTGCCAAGATTGACTCGGTGGTGGTTTTGTTTTCCTAAAGCTGTTGTGAGTAGGACGGCTGGATGTTGCCAGAGGGCTGTGATTTGCTCCAGCCTCGTGCCCAGGGTGGGGTTTATAACCTGCCAGGGGAGGGATCCCGTTCCAGGTGCCAAGGTGTGCTGTGCCAGGACAGGGGGGTATGGGCACCTTCAGGTGCTGCTGCTGTTTGCTGCCATCCTGCCCTGGCATTTTTCTTCAGCAGTGTCTGTGGTGCCTCAGCAATTCATTGAAACCCACTTGGAGTATTTTGAGTAATTCCTGTGAGGTGGGAGCGTGTGTCCTGATGGTTTGGATCTTGGTTTTGTCTTCTGCTTGTCCAGGGTTTGCACTGTGCGCTGTTTGCAGATGGTGGTGGTGATAATCATGGAATTGTGGAGTGCTTTGGGTTGGAAAGGACCTTAAAGATCATCAAGGGGGCAGGGACACCTTCCACCAGCCCAGGTTGCTCCAACCTGGCCTTGGACACTTCCAGGGATCCAGGGGCAGCCACAGCTTCTCTGCCCAACCTGGGCCAGGGCCTCACCACCCTCAGAGCCAGCAATTCCTTCCCAATATCCCATTTTCACTTTTCCAGTGGGAAGCCATTCACTGTGTGCTGTCCCTCCATCCCTTGTCCCCAGTCCCTCTAAGTCCTTTTCAAGGTTTTCCCCCTTCTCTCTTTCAGTGACATCCCGAGTTTTTTGTGGTTTTGAGCACTGCTGTTCCCTGAGTATCTCAGGATGAAGGATTCCAACTGTCCTTTCTGCTTTCACATCCTTCTCCAGAGTCTTTTCCTCCTGTCAAGTCCTCACCACCTATTATTTATAGGAGTGGTGGGAAGGGATGTTGTGGAGCATTCCTGGCACTGTCCCAGCAGTGGGGATCACTCAGCTCTCCGACTTCATTCCCTTGATCCAGGGATGACCTGGGGATGGGGACGTGCTCTGAGGTGACCTGGGGATGGGAATGTGCTGCCAGTGGTGGGAGATGCCTGGAAATTCCATGCTCTGAGATTGTCCTGAGCTTTGCAGCCCTTGGTGTGGGAGGAATTAAGGTCTGACTTTGCACTAGAGGGTTATCAGAGAATCAAAGGCTGGGTTGGGTTGGGAGGAACCTTAAAGATCATCTTGTTCCTCCGAGGACACTTCACACCAGCCCAGGTTGCTCCAAGCCCTGTCCAACCTTGAACACCTCCAGGGATGTTCTTTGGGGGCCTCTCCTCCATCCAGGAGGTTGTCAAGGAGCTTGTGGAGAAGTCAGACACAAAGGATGAGAGGTCACACCACGGACTTTGTCTGAACTTCATCCCAGAACGGGGCAGTTTGTGTAAATAAACAGTTAAAAAATAATTTTGGCTTTTCCGATGGGGAATTCCTTTTTGGCCTTGTGTGGTGTATCCCTACAAGTGGACTTGGAGCCATGACATCCATCTGACAGAGAAACCATCACTCCTGAAGTGATGCCCTTCAAGGTGTCAGGAAAATCATCGCAAAGCCCGTACAGAGACTTCCCCCAGGAGAATCCCACCCGGGGCTTGGTTTGTTTGTCGTGGCTCTTAAGTAAATAAAAACCTGATGATGGATCTTCAGAAAACGTAGGAAATCATCTCTGAGTGGAAAACTAATGTTTGCCTTTGTTTTCTCCTCTCCCAGGCTCACTGAACCTTCAGGGTACGTCACGGATGGGCCTGGGAATTACAAATACAAGACAAAATGCACCTGGCTCATTGAGGGAAGGTGAGTGCTGGGAACAGCCTGGGATTTCCTCTTTCCAAGGGTGGCTTTTAGGTGAGGTTTATCTGCATTAAGTATTTTTGTATCTCATGATTCTCTCTGGATATTCTTAAAGCTGGATGGGGAAGCACTTAGTTATTCACAGGAAATAAGTTTTTGGGGTGTTTTCGTGCAACTGAGGCCTCCAAACTGACTTGGGATTGAGAGGTTTGTGTTGAAACACAAGCAAAAATCAGTGTGTTTGTGTAAGCAGTGAAGGATTGGGAATTACTGAACTGATATCAGAGTGGACCATTCAGTGTTGGGATTCACCACACACAGGATTTTTTGGCAGTGTGAGGAAAAAAGAGGACACTCTCTGAAAGCCCCTCTTTATGAAAAATCAGTTTTTGGAGTGATCTTTTAAATCCTTCTTTACCCACTGGGCCAGGAGGAGTTCACAGGGACCACTGACCTGTTTCACAAAGCTTTCCTAAACTGGGAGCAGTCCCTCAGACCTCCCTTCCTGGATTTGATCCTTGTGATTTTTAGGAGCAGCACATTTGCTGCACGTCCTCTGTCACCTGATGGATCCCTGGAAGTGTCCAAGGCCAGGTTGGAGCACCCTGGGCTGGTGGAAGGTGTCCCTGCCCATTGGAGGGGTTGGAACTGGGTGGTCTTTAAGGTCCCTTTCCATCCAGACCATTCCATGACTCCACGTTTGGGAGGTCTGTCGACTGAGGCTTAGGGGAAATTGGTATTCCCTGAATCTACTTCAGCCATTTATTTGGGATGGGGAGGTTTAATTCCTAAGATACTCCCAAGATACTCCGAGCTGATGGCTGAGCTGCTCCAGAGAGCCATCCAGGACCCTGGAATTGGGAGCCAACCCACTCACCATTGACTGTGTAAAGGAGCCCAGTCCTTTAAGGTGGCTGAGATCAGAAGTTGGGTGCTTCAAGTGGCAACACCTTTTAATTTCCGTGGGTAAGAGGAACCCGACTGCAGAGAGCTGGCAATTACAAATAATAAAAAAAATGCTTCACAGGAAGGTTATCCCAGACAAAGCAGCACAGCCAGATGAACTTCTGGTTTTAAGGGATATTGTGGCTCATATTTTTTATCAGAAGTGAAGTTTTGCTGCCGAGTCCTCGATCATGTCACCAAAACTGCTCCTCCAGCCTCTATTGGCTGCTGCTGAGAGGTTTCCTAGAAAACCATCACTTTGTGGGGTTTAAAGTGAGATGTTTCATTGCTAGGGAGGCAAAAATGTTCCTCCCTGTTCCATGGGCAGGCTTTTAGGTTGGAATCCTTTTCCTGTTTGTCCCCCCCCTGTCGCTGTCAGAGGAGGGTGGTGAATGGAGAGGAGATAATGGTGCTGATTAGAGCAGCTGGAAAATGAAAATGCAGCCCTTTGAAAAGAGCCCCAAGCTCTGCTCTGCCAGGAGTGAGATTCCCAGGGCATCTGGACTTTGGGAAGCAGGGCCTGCAAAGCTGGGCAGCTCTTGAGTGCTGGCATTCCTGTGTTGGAGGGATTTGGGATTAGCAGGGGAAGGTGCAATCCAGCGTGCCACTGGAGGCACTGAGAGATTCAGTATGAAACAAGCCACCTTTTCCTTACTGTTCCCCTTTCCTTTCTGTGCAATTCCTGGCTCTTCCTGGCTGGCTGTGCCCTCATCCTGGGGATGTCCTTGAGGTGTCATCCCCATCCCTCCTCCCCCAGGTCCCTTTTCCCAGAAAAAAACACTCAGCTGATCCAAAGAAAAACCTGAATGGCCCAACCCCACCCAAATCCAGCTCAGTTTTCCATCATTTTATTCCCAAAAGGAATAATTCCATCATTTCATCATTCCATGATGTTGTTTCTCAAGGTTAAGTCGGGATGGAGTTTGGGAGAGCTCAGAGCGAGGTGTCACCCCAGCCCTCCTCCCTCAGGTCCCTCTTCCCATAAAACCACTCAGTTGATTCCCTCAAAACCACAAATAGCTCAAAAATCAGCCAAATCCTTTCAGTTTTCCATTGTTTTATTCCCAAAAGGAATAATTCCATTATTTCATCATTCCATGGTGTTGTTTTTCAGGGTTAAGTCAGGATGGAGTTTGGGAGAGCTCAGAGTGGGGTGTCACCCCCATCCCTCCTCCCTCAGGTCCCTTTTCCCATAAAAACACTCAGCTGATCCAAAGAAAACTCCACATGGCCCAAACCCCACCCAAATCTCAATTTTCCCTCATTTTATTCCCCAAAGGAATAATTCCATTACTCTCTAATTCCATGATGTTGCTTGTCAGGGTTAAGTGAGGGGATGGAGTTTGGGAGAGCTCAGTGGGGTGAATTGATCCCTCCTAAAATATCCCAATTTGTTCTTCCCCAGGAGTGTGAGCCTAGGCAGGTGAAATCCATGGAGCCTGATGATCCCAGGTGCCTGGGATGGTGCAGATGAGGGTGCACTAACGAGTTGCTGGCTGGAGCAAAAAGTCTCCTGCTTTTTGTTCCTGGTCTGACCCTTTATTTATTGCTGGACCGTTTCTTTCTGCTCCACAGGCTGTTCAGATGGAAGCCAACCCTATGACCCCTTAGTTTTGAGGCCATGGCTGCTCTTTGTACCTTTTTTGTTTTTAAAGCAGGACATTATCCACGAGTTCCACCCGCTGCTCTTATTCCAAAGGCCTGGAGCAGATCGTTGTGCCTATCAAAAACCAGAGAACAACTTGCAGAATAACTCCCCAAACTCCTTCCCAGCTCCTGTGGGAAGGAACGACTCTGGCGCAGTGAAAATTACTGATTTGTCCAATTAGGATGAGCGGGGATTTCACGTGGATCCGAGGGCTGTGCTGTTGGAGAGGCACTAATCACTTGGATCTGTCCTTTCAGCAGCTTCAGCCGTGGGTGGGAGCAAGCAGTGCTGACACAGATTCACCTCGATTTATTCATCTCGGGCCCAAGCACAGTGCAGTGCTGTTTCCACCCTCCTGGAGCTGAGCCCTCAATCAGGTGCTTGCTGGGGCTCCTCTGGGATGTTCTTTAGGTGCATCTTTGCTCGTTAACCGTGAAACAAGTGGTGCCTCATCACGGTGAGAAGCTCCACGTGGCACCCAGACATCAATCACCTCAGGCCATCATAACCCTCTCAGCCTGCAGAGAGCCCCTTGAACAAGGGAAGAGCTCTCCTTAATTCCCTGCTGGTGGAGAAAGGTTTAAGGACACTGCTTTCTGATCATGAAGAACCTGTTGCTTAATACCAGGGGAGCTGCACACCCCAAAAAATTAACCCCCAGAGTGTTTGATGCATCTGCATTTACACAGATCCCTCAGTTTTACTCTGCTTTAGAGCAGGGCATCCCACCAGGGGAGGAGCATTTTGCCCTGTGTGTGAGTTGGCTGATTACAAATCCTCTGTTGATTTACTTTTCTCTTCTTTGCAGGCCAAACACAATCCTCAGGCTTCGGTTCAATCACTTTGCCACGGAGTGCAGCTGGGACCACCTGTACGTGTACGATGGAGACTCCATTTACGCTCCCTTACTGGCAGCTTTCAGGTGAGTCCCCCTTGGTAAGGCCCTAAATGCTCTTTTTCATCTAAAACCTGACTTAAATGTGGTTTCCAGCAGTGCACATGTGTCCCAGGGATCCAAACACCCAACCCTGCCAGTGCAGCCAGTGTGTCCTTCTGGGCAGTTGTCAGCAGAATAAACAATTAAGGAGTTGTGGGTTTTTTTTGCTGTCACAATGAACATGTCACTGCTCTGTGGCATGGAAGTGTTAATGTTTTCATTCCCCAGATCCTGACTACTTGAGAGACAGAAAAAAAAAAACACAGCCTTGTCTTGTGCCTGGGCTGGAGGTGATTTGGAGTGCAGGGTCCTCCTGGGACAGGATCCCCAGGGAATGGTCACGGCCCCAAGGCTGCCAGAGGTCGAGGAATGTTTGGAAAAGGCTTTCAGGCACAGGGTGGGATTGTTGGGGTGTCTGGGCAGGGCCAGGGGTTGGACTGGGTGATCCTGGTGGGTCCCTTCCTGCTCAGGATATTCCATGAAAGGAGAAAACTGCTCCGTTGATGAGCTTTGACCATGATTTGTGAGTTAAGCTTGGAGCGTGTCAGTGCTGATGGAAGGGAGAAGCCAGTTCACATTGGACACATGAGGATCTCAGTGCACAGGTGGATATGGATACACAGGGATACATCTGGATCTCAGGATACAAATGTACAGGGATACACATGGATCTCAATATACAAATGTCTGTCTCTATGTACCTCAATATTTTAATGTTGAAACTATTTGTTACGTGTTCAGAAGCAACAGCAGAGGATCAGACAGCCTGGTGGAAACTTGGAATCCCAGAATGGTTTGGGTTGGAAGGGACCTTAAAGACCATCCAGTTCCACCCCCTGCCATGGGCAGGGACACCTTCCACCAGCCCAGGGTGCTCCAACCTGGCCTTGGACACTTCCAGGGATCCAGGGGCAGCCACAGCTTCTCTGCCCAACCTGTGCCAGGGCCTCCCCACCCTCCCAGCCAGCAATTCCTTCCCAATATCCCATCTCTCCCTGCCCTCTGGCAGTGGGAAGCCATTCCCTGTGTCCTGTCCTTCCATGCCCTTGTCAGATGTCCCTCTCCAGCACTTGACACATGTAAAAATATCCCTCCCTCCCATGGGTGACAGGAATTTGGCTCATCCCCGTGGTGACACTGGTTTGTGGCTGGTGGTGAACAACCAGCATTTCCCACCAGACCCCACCGTGACTGCTGCGTTCCTGAGCTTCAGTCCCACAGTGACACCACCACCACCACCTTATGCTTTTTATTCTTCTAGCTGAAATCAGGAAAATAATCCCAAGTTATCCATGGGAAAAGAACAAATGGCTCCCCTTGGGCTCTGCTTGTTCCAAGTGGCTGCGCAACCACGTCCAGAATTAACCTTCTGCTGGGCTCCCTGTGAAACGAAGGTCTAAAAATACTTGGTGTTTGTTCTGGAAAACCCTTGTAATCTCTAGGAGAGAAGATCAGCAGAGGAACAAAAAGTTGATTAAAATATCAGAGCCACCACCGTGTGGGGGGGTTGTTTTTGTGGTCTGAAGCTGCAGTTGCAGAGTCCTTTTGGAGCTTGGGGGATGAATTGTTGTGTCGTTCTCACCTCGTTTTCAAGAAGGAACAACCTTCCCTCCTCTTAAAACCTCCAAAAAACCCTGGAAGTGGCACCTGGAAGGGTATCCTGCACTGATTGATATGCGGGGAGAGGAGGAAATGTCATCTGGGCTCCTCATCATTCCGCTCTAATCGAGCCCGTTTTGAGTGTGCTGGTGTGAGAAGGTGAAACGATGATGATGATGATGATGATGATTTGTGCCCGCCAGTTCCTTGTGTGTTTTCCAAAAATTAATAGGCTTTTGAAAGGGAGGTTATAAGTGGTTCACAGCATTAACAATTACGGCTGAGACTGGAAAATCCTCTGTAAATCACCGGGAAGTCTGGGCCTGAGGACAGAGTGAGCTTAATACAATAACACTTTTGAGGGAGGGGGGGAGAAAAAAAAAATCAATTATTTTCTTTAATTGCTTCTTTAGATGACATTTGAATTTCATCTTCATTAGCACTGAGCTGTGGTGTTCAGTAATCCAAGTTCAGGAAATGGCAGATGCTTCTCGTTTTGATCAAGTGCCAGAAAAGCATCTGTTGAGAAATACCTTTCTCTGGTACGAAAATAAACGCACTAGAAATTTTTTTTTATTTTTTAAAGAGCAGCGTTCATATTTTATTAATTTTTGGGGGCTGTATTAAACTCATTATTCACTGTATTTCCTTCTCCATTATCTTTGCACCCAGCCAGGGGATTTGCAGGGTTGAGCTGGACACTGCGAACTTTCAGAGCTTGTTGATAAACACTATAAATTCCCCCCTCTTTAAACTCAGTTTTTGTTCCCTCCCTGGCTCTTTACAGCAGTTTCCCCTCAGTTTTTTCCCTGCTCTCATCTTGTTTTCTTGACCTTCTGATGCTCCTTTGTGTTTGTTCACAAGATGATATTTACCCTGCATAGAAGATGATCTTGGAAATCCTCAGCGCTGGACTGTGGGGAGGCTTTAGGTTTGGTTTTATCAATTTTTAACAGCAATAAATATTTGCATAATGCCAACATTTACACAGCCCAAGTGTCTGCACAGACTGAACTTCTCGTAGCCTGAGAGCCCCCCGGGGCTCTCTGGTCCTGCACATTAAGCTTTTTTATATTAAACAGGGTTAAAAATATCTGTGCTGGCTTGTGTTTGTCATCAGGGGCAAGATGAGACTGTGTCAACGTTGCAGCTTCAAAAATCTGCAGTAAAAGAGCGGGGAGGAAACAAATCCAGAAGAAACCTGAGTCAGATGAACTCCAGATCTGATTTAGACAAACTCCACTCAGCATCTGTGCACTCTGTTGGGTTTGCTGGTGACTCCACTCGGCGTTAAACATTTACCCGAGCAGCTTTTGCAGCTTTATTTTCATTTTGCACTGGTTGGGGGGTGGGTGTTTTCCTCCTCAAACCTGATGGTTCTTGTGCAAGACCTTTGGCCGAGGCGCGGGAGCTCCTGGTGGCTCCCATCAGGTGCCAGGGGGGTGGTCCTGGTGGCCTCCAGGTGAGCCCTTGTTCCCTCAGGAGGCAGGAGCAGCTCCCCTTCCCCAAATCTGAGCGTAGGGGTGAGTTGGGATGGAAGGCTCTGATCCCCTCTCTCAAAGCGGGTCCTTTGCTCGAGATTTTGCCCGAATTTCTGTTTAGGATGGAGATCTTGTTGACCCCGTGGGTCGGTGGTTCGGTGCTGAGCCGCCCTCATGTTAAAAAATGATAATAATTAATGAATCTAATACTGATGTCTAATTAGCATCTCCTTTATGGCTTTATTTCCTGAAAAGTCCATGTTTGGGAGTCATCTTGCTTCATTTCAGACAATAAATTTGAGATGTCTCCCTATTTTCTCCCCCTTCTTTTTATTTTTCACCACTGATTTATGGTTGGTCTCCTGTGACATCTATTTCTGGTTTATTTTTGCTCTTGCAGTTCCCAGTATAGGTGAGGAGCACGGACTGGTTTTCAGTAAGAGAGAAATGGTGTCATTTTGTGCACAGGCGTGTCCAGCTGGATCAGAGTATTTAAAAATTCGGATAATTGGTTTGCACTGGATTTTGAGAGACGGTGAAGCTGATTTTTCAGCACCACCCTCACCCTTCGACTCCTGTGCTCTGTATTTTCTGCCTTTCCTTTTGTGATTCCCACTTTTTCTTGTTTCCTTCTCAGCAGAGCTTCTCATGCCTTTGATCTCTGGCAGGTTGTGTCTCGGGAGGAAATGAGGAATCCACCCCATGATAGCCACAGAGCAAATCCAGGGAAAGTAACAGGAGATATCTTTTTTTTTTTAATAATTCTTTAGCCAATTTTTAAAAATAATTCTCATTTTTTTGATGGTGTAGGGCAGAGAACAGGGCTGTAGAGAAATTAAGTCTCCTGATCCTAATTGTGGCCTTCCAATACCTGCAGGTAGCCTCCAAAAAAGATGGAGAGGGACTATTTACAACAGCATGGAATGACAGGACAGGGGGGAATTGATTCCCACAGACAGAGAGAGCAGGTTTAGACTGGATATTGGGAAGGAATTGCTGGCTGGGATGGTGGGCAGAGAAGTTGTGGCTGCCCCTGGATCCCTGGAAGTGTCCAAGGCCAGGTTGGAGCACCCTGGGCTGGTGGAAGGTGGCACTGGCTGATCCTTAAGGTCCCTTCCAACCCAAACCATTCCGGGAATCCGTGACCCTGTGCCACTGTTATCACCGTGCCGCTGACTCCACGCATCCAGCTGACAGAAAACAGGAGGAATTCCATCAGGAAACAGGGCTTTGCCTTTCCCGGGGTGTCCCTGGGCAGGCGGGCTGAGTGGGAGTGTTTGTTTGCTTTGGAGTAGCGGCGCTTGCGAAATGTTTTGAAACCTTATGAAAGGAAATAAAAGCAGCGTGTTGTGAAACAGCCTAATCCTGGCCACAGCCAGAGCTGCTCAGGGAGTCTGGAGCAGAGTTTAAAAGGAAGTTTTGCATAATCCTTTATCATTCTGAGCCTGCCCCTTGGATTCTTTGTGGTGGCAGAAAGTGTCAGTTCTGTCCGTGCTGGTTTTGTTGGGTGTGGTGCTGATTTATTAATGGCTTTTGGAGGCTCAGCCTTTCAAGGATCTATCTGATCCTTAACCGTTGTGCCGAGTTCTCTCCGTGGCTTTTCCCTGAAAGGAATCCCAAACCCCCCCATCCCTGGAAGTTTTCAAGGTCGGGAGCAACCTGGTCTAGTGGGAGGTGGTCCCTGTTTTGTTGGGACAAGATGGTCTTAAATGGTCCTTTCCGACCCAAACCCTTCTGAGATGCTGCGATTAGTTTTCCTCGGGTTGTTTTCAGCTTGTGTGGGTGGGATAATTGTCCCTTCAGTTATTTACACCCCAGAAAAGCCTGGGAATAAGGGAGCAGTTGCGAGATGTGGCGAGAGCATCAGCTGTGGAGGTGCCTGCGTTGTTGCCAAACGAAATTGAGACTTCCACGAGCGAACAAATAATTGTCCTGTGGTCGTCCTTTTATTAGGAAAGATTATTGAGGGGGGATTTTTCTCTTCTCTCGCTGCTTTTATTCCTTACTGCCGTTATTCCCCCTCTCCAGGGCCTTCCAGTTATTTCGCCCTGCAATATCAGAGATAAGTGCTGAAGAAGAAACCAGAACAAAGGGTTGTTTTTTTTTTTTTTTTCTCCTCCCCGAGCTGCAGTTTTCCTTATCCTGAATTACACTCCGAATGTCTGTTTTCCTGTGGAGCAGAAGTGCCATCCCCGCAGTTCCCATTACAAAGGAACGTCACAAACCCAACCAGAAGTTGATTAGGCTTTGTGAGGTGATCTTTTGGGAGGGATAAACTTCAGATCGGGAGTGTTAAACGCGGGGAATGAAACAGGCACCTCTCGCCCGTCGAGAGAAAAGGGATTAATTTTGCGTTTTAATCCCGGAGGATTAAAGGAGGGCGGGGTTTGGAATCTTGCCTTCCTCGCAGGGAAACGTTTCTCGAGCTGGAGTTTTTCCAGCCAAAACGTGGGATCGGGTTCCAGCGATTTTTCGGGCACGTTGGTAAAATTAAGGACATTTTTATGTCCACAAATCAAGACCCGAATCAAAGACACAAATCAAAACCGTGCAGCTTACAGGTTGACCCTGCCGTGGGGGTAACGCCTCGTCTGGGATTTTTTGGGTGCCGAAATCTGCAGCAAAAGAGGATCACAGGGTGTCTGGGGTATTCACTGAAGCACAACCCTTTAACTCAGGTCACCAAAAAGCGCTTTCCAGGCGGTGGGGGCGGACGCTGGGGAGGATAGCTGGGCGCTTTCCTTGGGTGTAGGAACTCATCTACAGCTCCCGGGGAACTGCACTTGCTTTCTGTTCCAAATAGATGTGAAGAGAGGACAAGTAAAGCCCTTTTCAAGGGGGAAACATTCTTTTCGTTGCTGCTTTTCGGCGGGTGGTGGCCTTGGCTACTCAGCAGTCCTTGGATACTCGCCCCAGGCTCGGCTGCTTTCCCGGGACAGCCACTGGAGCTGCCTCCTTTTCCCTGCCTGACACGCTCCTCTCTGTGAGACCTCCTTGTCACGGAGCTGCCACTTTTCCCGTGGAAAGATGGATCTGTGCAGGGAAACAGCAGCTGACTGCGGGTCGGGGGTGGTGGACGCGGTGCAGTGCTCCGGTTAAAGGCTTTTAAATACTTTTTAAATACTTCCAATTTACACCTGCTCTGATGTCCTTGGTGTGAGGGAGGAATTGACTTCCTTGGGTTGTTGTCAAGCTTCTGTAAAACCAAGAATAAACATTCCCTGCTCAGTGCAGTGGGTAAATAGGTAGCAATTACTTTTTTTTTCCAAACTCATTTGGTCTCCTGGTCTCCATTATTTTTACTGGGGACAAGGCATGGAGGGACAGCACACAGGGAATGGCTTCAATCTGGAGAAGTGAAGATTTAAATGTGATATTGGGAAGGAATTTCTGGCTGGGAGGGTGGGGATGCCCTGACCCAGATTGAGCAGAGAAGCTGTGGCTGCCCCTGGATCCCTGGAAGTGTCCAAAGCCAGGCTGGAGCCACCTGGGCTGGTGGAAGGTGTCCCTGCCCATGGCAGGGGGTGGAACTGGACCATCTTTAAGGTCCTTTCCAGTCCAAACCAGTCTGTGATTCCATGACTGATTGTCCGTGTTTCTGATGGAAAAAGAGCCCAGGAGGCAACAAGTGTAAAACGAGTAAAACAACCCTTCCTCTGCTGTTGCAGAGTTAAATTTTTGACCTCCCTGCAGCGGATTTTCCAGTTGATAAGGGTACCAGTGGCTGAGAAAGGAACTGGATGGAAGCATGGATGGATGGTTTATTTCTCTGTGCTGACCTGGGTGCACTCTCCAGGTCACAGCACCTGAGCTGGGTTTCGGGAAGCTGGAGAACACATCACCAAAATGCTCTGCATGGCTTTCTTACCACAGCCTTTCCTGAGGATTTGCTGCAGCCCAGACTCAGGAGGGACATCCTGGCCACAGCACACTTTTAATTTGGCTTGGTAGTGCAGATTTTTCTCTTTTGGGGCACGCTGATTTCTGTTTCCAAACATGCCTCTTTGTTTACGATCAGGCCCTGCTTAAATCACATAACAAGGCAGGGGAAAGGCTTTTGACAGCGATAACTGGAATTCCTGACATCTTCAAGCTCACTCGGGTTAAATACTTTAAAACACGTTTATTTACGACTCCACCAATTCTTTATTAACACTGATGCACTTTTGTTGC